CGAGAAGGCGTCGGCAGCGTGGTCCGGGATCAGCGCGTTAAACACGGCCTGGAAAACAAGGGGAGTGTGGGGATGGAGGCTGGCAGAGATGCTTCACTACCCAGAGCACCCAGCGCTCCAACAATCGAGGCTGGAGCCCAAGATGCCCATGAGGTTGTGAAAAGGTGCCCACACAACCCTTTTGGGGTGTTTACATGTGACCAGAATAACGCTCTGTGATGCAGCATGAATCCCTGCAGAACTGGCCAGGGAAAGCTGCTCTCGGCTATGATTGGGCTCTGTGCTGGCTGTCACAACCAAGCTCTCCCATGCTCAGAGCAGGATGTCTCTGGAAATAAGACTTGGGAGGAAGGTACAGGAGGAGATTATTGTTCCTTTTCTGTGGATAAACACACTTTGAGCCAAACCAGCCTCTTGCAGCAGCAGCAGCATGAAAACACAGCAAGTCACAAGGAAATTAATGCAATTTTACTTAACAGCAACCTGTAAGTTGGCTGTGGACAGTCTGTTGGCTCTCCAGAGAGGATGATTTCCCCATTGCGCAGAAGCAGCTCACGGATCTCTGGGGCACAGCAGGGAGGATCTGGGAGCAGCAAACCCCAGCGGAGCTCCCTGGCTGGAGGACGGACTTGCCTGCAGCAGCAGCGCCAGGGCCCGGCAGCGCAGCGCGAACCACAGCACCGCCCGGAGCTGGGGGTCTGCCCTGCTCCACAGCTCCATCCCTCGGCCAGGAGCTGCCTAGGAGGTCACCGCGGCCAGGGGAATCCTCCTTCCCGTTCGGGAAACCTGGGTGGGTGAACACAGAGGACAAAGAAAGGGATTTCTGTCAATTTTGTGCCTTCATTTACCGTCAGGCACTTGAAAGGTGCAAGTCTCTGTGAACAGGAAAGTTGCTTATGGAAGAGATCAGGGATCTGGGAGATGATGCAGAGACCTCTTTGATTCTGTTCCTACTAAAAAAAAAATCCCTGACTTGTTAAGCTTGGCCAAGACACTGAGAGAGAGAGGCTATGGCATGTTCTCTGAGCCCGGGCTGGGGTAAATCGCTGGAGCAGACAGTCTGCTCAGCTGCCTCAGCAGGAGCTCCAGCAGCTGGAGCCAAGCATCCTCACACACATCCAGCGCCAGTGAATGGGATCTAAGCCTCTTTTTCTTGGAAAGGAGACAGAATTCCTGTGGACTGTGAGCGTAACCCCCGTGTGAGCAGTTGCTGAGTGGAGCTGCCAGGAGCTCCCTCCTCTCTGCTGCTCCCTGTTTGCCCCTGGGGAGCCAGGAATGGATTTACTCAGCTGGCTCCATGGCAGCAGCTCTGCCAGAGCAGGGTGGAACTCGGGCACTCAGCTTCCCCCAGCACAGGCAGCACACAAACTCTGTGCCACCACCTGCAATTCTCCACTATTTTGGCAAAGCTCCTGGTTCTGCTGGGCACACTGCACATTCTGAATCCACCTGTCCACCTCCCCCCTGCAAACCTCCCAGAGGGATTTCAGCTCTCTGTTCAGTGCCTGCATGTCCCGGGTGCCGTGGTGGCCCAGCTCTGATCCCCTGGCCCTGAACCATGGGAGGCAGGCAGGATCTGCTCTGCAGCTCTTTAAGATAAAACATTTCTTCCGTTGGTTCCCCAGCCACCAACTGCTGATCAGTTAGAGAAACACACAGCCCACAGCTCTCGCTGGGTGCCATGACACCACATCCTGCCCTTCTGTCTGCTCCAGCCCTCTGCAGCACACAGAGAGCCCCAAATCCATCGCTCCACAACCCAAAATCACTGACATTTCCCTCGTGCCATTGTGGAGAGAAAACCCTGCCAGGCTGAAACTGCACGAGAGGGCAGAGAGCAAATCATCAGCAAGGCAAAAACCAAGATCCAGACCGGCTCACTGACAGCTCCAATCCCCAGCCACAGGGTTATGCTTCCTATTTAACCACCAATAAAAGTTTTGGGGTTGCTCCAATTCCCCCTGTGCTCTCCAGCACTCACAAAGTAACTGGTGGGAGGCACATTCTCCTGCATCACGAAGCTGTGACGTTATTTTAAGCGAGGGGACACTTCAACCCAGCTGTAAACCCTTTTAAAGCACATTCACAGCTGCAAATCCTATTAAAGCACAGCGGCAAAAATTGTCCCGGCACTTTAAATATAGTTTTTTTTCAAAAAGCAGAGAAAAAGCCTCGCCTGAATGTGCCAAGAGAGCTCAAAGCAAACAGCTTTAAAAAGCCTGTTCCTGTCACGACGCAGCACACCTTGTGACAGAGCGAAGCCTTCAAAAGAGCTGCAGCCCACAAGCCCCGTTTGGATCCAGAACGCAGCGTCGGGAATGGCTCTGCCCCAAAAATCCTGTGGGAAACAGCACCTGCACGAGCACAAAAAGGAGAGGGAGAAGGGCGTTAAAAATACTCCAGCAGAAAAACGTGCAAAGTCTGAATTAGAGATGTTTTTCTCTCTGGGTCCTGCGCTTCCCTTGGCTCTCAGCTGCGAATCAGAAGTTTTCCAAACTTCTCAGTGTGGAAGCGGCGCTGAGAGGGACGCGGGCAGGGCCGGTGCAGGAGCACGGGACGGGAGC